AGAACAGACAGCACCCCCTGCTGGCTTAGCCCTGGGCTCCCAGCCCCCTTCCCCCCACAACCAGCAGCAAGCTGGGGGGATAGTCATATCTCCATAGTAACCCCCCCCAGCTAAGCCTTGTTCCACGAGGCCATCCCTCCCCAGAGCCAGCCACCAGATACCAACACCAAGCTCACAGTGCCACCTAGTGGACACCCCATCCTTTCCACTACATGCAAACTGTGCCCCCTGACTCCCCAGCCAAACAGTCACAGCCCAGAAGGGTTTTGCCATGAAACACTCACTTTATTCTCATCATTAGCTTCCAACTGTGCAGGTGGGGGGGGGGGCAGCTTCAAGCCCTGCCCCCTCAAGAAGCTCCCCCCCAGGGAGAAAGAGGCATGGCCAGGTTCAGGCCCATCCCCTTGGCCAGCTGACTCAGGGCTGCTTGGCAAAGTACTCCTTGCTCTCCTTCACTGTGGGCTTGATGGTGTCACCACCTGGCTGCCAGTCTGCAGGGCACACTGTGGGGCAGGGGGGTGTTAAAAAGACCCAGGAAGGAACCAGGATTCCCCCCCCCCCAAATCCTGAATGCTCCCCTCAGGTCTTAGATAGGGAAACTGAGGCACAGGAAGATAGGGGTGTGCCTCCATTTCCCCACCTGGCTGTGGGCCCAGCCCTAACAGAATTGGGAGAAGGGGAGGGAAGGGCTGGTTTCACAGCCAGATGGAGAACCCCCCCCAACTCCTTCTGTGCCTGTTTTCATATGGGGCTGTGGGTCCAAACTTTCCAGTAGAATGTGGGGAAGAGGTAAGGGTTATGCCCATGGCCCAGGGGAAGTGTGTGTGTGTGGGGAGGGGGGGGCAGACGATAGGGGGCAAGGCTGGGCCCATGGCTGCGTGGTAAAACTGAAGCACCCTCCATATCTTCCTATGCCTCAGTTTCCCCGCCACACCCTGGGCTCCATTCCTTGCCCTTCCCCTCCATGTTCCTGTAACAGCTGAGCTCGGTGTGGTGAGGAAACTGAGGTACAGGAACTGTGGGGAAGAATGCTAAGGGCTAGGCCCATGGCCAGGCAGGGAAACTAAGGCAGTTAGGAATGTAACCCCAGATATCCCTCCCCAGCTGACCTCACCCTCTCCCCAGGTCTTGGTGTGGGGCAGGGGGATGGACAGGGATGAGAACCAGTAGCTCTGTGTCCTGTCCCCACCCTCAAGGGGGGTGTGCATGGGGGAAAGCTCACCTTCACCATGCTGGTCAGCATGCTGGAAGGCCTGCACCAGGCGCATGGTCTCATCCACTGAGCGCCCCACTGGCAGGTCATTGATGGTCACTTGCCGCAGCCGCCCCTCTGCATCGATGATGAACAGGCCCCTGGGGGGGAGGGGGAGGAGCCTCAGGGCCAGTAACATCTCTAGCCAAGACCCCATCCCCCAAGCACCTGTTGTGCCCCTGCCTTGCTCACAGGGACATGAGAGTTCACCTGTGTGCGAGGCAGCTGGGGCTATGGGGTAAGGGGCATGTATGTGCAAGGTGGCTAAAGGGTAGTACAAGGAGCTGACTGGTGTGCGAGTAGCTCATGTGTACATAACAGACATGGAAGTGGTGAGCAAAGGACTCACGTGTGTGAGGTAGCTGTGGGGGGGAGAGGTGTGTCAGCCATGCGCAAAACAACTGGGGACAAGGGGGGGCGTGCATGGGCTCATGTGTGTGCAAGGGACTCGCACATGAGGCAGCCAAAGGTAGGGGTGTATTTGGGCTCACGTGCATGTAAAGCAGCTGGAGGGGACATGCAAGGGGCTAGCACATGCGCAAGAAGCTTAAAGGGGCTCATATGCATGTACAACCACTGGGGGCAGTGCAAGGGGCTGGCATGCATGCAAGGCTCCTGGGAGGGAAGGAGGGAGGGGGGTGGGGGTTGCACTCCCTTGAAGATGGGTCAGTTGGTGCTGGGGAGGGGTGCAGCTGAGTCTGCCCCCCAGGGGTCAGAGGTTACTACCTGTAAGCGATACCCTCATCCTCCTTGAAGACACCATAGTCACAGGCGATGGTGCGGGTCAAGTCCGACAGCAGCGGGATGGCCATGGTCCCCAGGCCCCCTTCCCTTCGTGACAGCTGTGTCCTGGGGGAGGGGGCAGGTTGGGAGCGGGGCACTAGGCTTTGCCCCCAGCCCAGCTCCAGGCAGATAAGGGGGCCCTGCCTGCACTAGCAAGGGCCGATAAGGGCTGGGCTGCCCTGATAACACCCGCAGGCCCACCCCTACAACGGTTGCTGGGCACTGACCCCATCTGCTTGCCTCCTTGGGGGGCCCTGGACCCCCAGCTCTAGCCTAAATTGGGGTTCCTTAGAAGGGGGCAGCACCCCCTCCCACAGGTCCTGAGCCTGCCTACTCCCACCCTAGTTGCCCTCCCTCC